ATTGCCCAGGACGTGATACTGCACCTTACTTTCTGCCTTTCAGAAAAACCTATTGACTCGTAGTGTTGGAAGCCACAAGAACAGCCAACAACATATCAATCTGAACGCAAGATTGGCCCGGGCCACACATCGTCCTGTGCAAACTGAACTGAACTGAACTGAAAAATCTGGACAAATTGGCACATTGCCGCTTGGTCATGTGAACCGACCTGATCTTAACTGACTCATGGGATATAACTGTTCAATTTTAAGGCCTTTTTGTCATACTAATTTTCATGAATCTTTCCTCGCGCTGACTTGACTTCAATAATTTCGAGGAGCGCGTTTCAAATTTTGAAGGTCGTTCATTCACGATCCGTATTTCTAAGGAAATGGGGAAAGATAATCCTATAGCTCCTATGGTTCCGGCAAAAGACTCAGATAAGTTGTCAACATTAAAGGCTAGTCAGGTTCCGAGCGAGCCGTATGGTGATACTCCTCAAATAGGTAAATAACACTGATCTTACATTATTTGTTTTTAGTAAAACGCACCCTTATCACAACCAGTCAAGTTGGCTTCGTGAGTTTGCCAGACCAATTGCACCGAAAAGCTGTTCGACGGGGTTTTGATTTCAATCTAATGATTACGGGCTCCCCTGGTTTGGGGAAATCTAGTTTCATCAACGCCCTATTTTGCAGCGATGTATACAATACAGAATACCCGGTAATTCTGGAAACTTACAGTAGATTTTTCGATTTTTCGTAGCATTTCCTGTTTTTGTTAAATGAGATGCGTCCACACAAGTGGTAAAATTAGGTTTTAGCGACAGCTAATTACGTTGATGATTACACTTCACAATAATTTTTACCGATTTTCATGTCATCTAATGCCAGTATTAAACGAAAGGGTCATCTGAGTTCCCTTCTGTTAAACCGACGAAGTGAACATTTCTTTGTTGGTTGTTGGTGATAATAAGGATCCGGAAATGCAACGAATATTTCTGGTTAGGTTCTCGTTTGAACAGCCGCTAGCTGGTCAACCACTTGACACTTCTGAAGCTTCAGTTTGCCGGTCTGCCCTTTCTTTGCACGGAGGTCAAGTTACTCCGGTTGCTCAGCCTCATAAATAGCCTGGGCTGAGGAAGCCCTTTTCACGGCCCTGATTTTAGCTCAAATACAGATGGACCGCGCCTTGTATGATCCTCATCATCACCTATATCAAAGGCGACCCGCTCACGTGGTCACAAGTTGCCACCAACTCACCAAATGCTGGTCGAGACGTCCTCTGAACCGCGTCCCGTTCTGCCCCTCTACCTCCGAACCCGTTTTCCTACCCAATTAAAATCCAAGATCCGAGAAGACAACTGGGTCGAAGAACTTCTGGAACCTCACGTAAGGGACTTGTCTAAAATCCTGCAACCAAACTACATCCACACCTTCCTTATTGTGACTGTTCATCGGCTCTTTGAGGATCGAGGTGTACTTGGTACCTTGAACCTTTGACCACTGCGAGAGTTCGTATAACTTGGAATAGTAACCACCCGCCCTTAATGGATTGCGGTTTTCTGGATTCGTCTAGTGTCATGTTTCGATTGGAATACATATCCATAGGTATGTAGAAAGGTATTTATTTGTTCTGTCCTTATACTTTGATGTGCGTAGTTTTTTATCGCACACTTTGGTGTGATGAACAACACAACGAAAGCCCCAAGCCCTATAGTTCAATGATGGAAACCGGTAACCCAAGCCCCGGGACTTGGAGTAGCGAACCACCTAAGGCTCCGGTAGATTAGGTGGGGTATTAAACCGGACGACAGCGGAGCTGCCTGCCACCTAAGTTGGGTGGCGGCGACGGGGCTTGAATCTCGAGCCATTGGGTCTAAAGCAGGCCGATGACAGCGACTAAACCACACGGTAATCATAGTAGCTTTCACTAGAGTAAAATCTAATATAGATTGATCAACAGTCGTATATTTTGATAACACGGGTCGTTATAAAAATGTAGCATTAACACGAACATTCCGATCAGGGTTGGCAGCATAAAACACTGATCTTTTACTCGGTGCCCATATGTTAAATCGGGGTTGAACCATTTTATTCCTCTAGGTGATTTGCAGCACGGGTGAAAATCTTCATAATAAAAAAGAGTGTAAAGGAGAACAGTTTTGGTTATTTTTGAGTTTTCATTTTCTCAAGTATACCATACAGAAGCAATATTGGTTAAGCACATGAACTGCCGGCGTTGAGATCGGTCGTGACGTATTCATCAAATTGTCATCCTTGGTTAGCTCCTAGATTGCCTTTATACTCTCGGAAAACATATTCATGCCACATTCAACTCCATTTAGATAACTGCAGTTTTGCACCCTTTTGTGAAATGGACTACCTAAAACTATTTATTGGTTCTCAAAGAACTGAATCGTCCCATCCCATGTCGGGCTTGCACGTGGGGCCAGCTTTCACCCCTGGTTTTCGGATTTTGGTTCAACGGTTCATACACAATTCATTCAACATTCATTCATTCAAATTCAACAACGTCGTCCTGACCGATGGGCAGAACATTTCAAGACAGCTCAACTGCCTACTATCTACACTAGACCTCCCAATTTCTGATTCAACGGGGCAGATACTGCCAATCAGTACTCCAGCTGAAATACCCGGGGAATAAGTCATCTCAAAAGGTTTATGGCCCCTGATCCGGACGAACTGTCCTCATCGGCTTTTAGGGATCAAGGGTCCGCGTTGGTTTTGAAGTTGACGAAACTTCTGATCTCAGTATGTGAGAGGTAGCAAGTTTCAACTAAATAGTGTGAATTGGTTATCTTACCGACTTGCAAGGAAGACGACAGATTCTCCTTCGAAAACCACAGAGGAATCAATTTAATCGACATTGTTTCTAAACTTCTCGCTGGCATTATATTCCGTCGATTGTCTACCGCACGTGAACGGTGCACGCAAGCTGATTTCATACCTGATAGAGATGGTATTGACCACACTTCCACTCTTCATCAACTTCTACCACCCAGAAGCTCCTTTCATAGATTCACCGTNCGTTTCTCACTTCCTCTACACTCTGACACTGCCTCTTTCTGAAGGGTGTGCGTGAGACCTTATTTAATCTTGCGATCTCTTTCTACCAATAACCGGAGCCAAATCCGAGCTTGCGACACTTTTTCGCCCGATTTCATCACAGAAAGCGGTATTCGTCCGGTTTGTCATCTGTCCTATTATATTGAACTTTGTCTTATCTGACTATGAAAACAGTCCTATCCTCGTCCAAGAATAGTAGCATCGATTTTCTCCGAGGCGGCAGGCAGTCTGATCTGGAGTATGCAGATGGCATTAGGCTTCTAAGTGAAGGTACAAGTCAGTAGCAAGTTTTCCTATATAGTTTGGGTGCTCATCACGACGAGACTGCAGCTTGCCGTGGTGTGATGGCTTGCGCACCTCTGACCCAACGAGCTATACAGGATGGTTTTTATCAAGCCGAAGATCTAATCATGCCTGGAACATCGAAGGGTAGAGGTCGGCCGAAGTTCAGTCTCCTGGTCTTCCAGGTTGGGGGTTTGACTCGAGTTAGCGTCTCAGTCGGTAAAACGGTAGAGGAGTAATTGATCCAAGTGAATGGGCCTCTACTTCGCTTCATCCGCTGCCTTGCAGTTAGGTTCTTGTTAGAAATAAAGGCTTTGGACGAGAACCCTAATCGTTCTGCTTAGTGGCTGGACACCCTGGCAGTACTCGTCCAGCAAACTCTAATGCATACACAAATAAAAAATAATTCCATACTGCATCGGTCGTCGCGCAGGATAATCAGGACCGCGCTGCCCATCGCATCGAGCGGGGTGGGTAATGATAAGTGGGCTATTGCTCAATGTTTAACTCTGTCTTCCGTTCCCAACTCCCTCCCTTTACTCTTCCTTCTGGCCCGTAACATTCCCTCAGACAACTTGTTCGTCACTCGCCAAAGTTCGTCGCCAAATAGCCCGGTAAGTAGTTTACCAGAAAATAAATTACAGATTCTGAAGCCTCGTCAGCCACTGAATCTGGGGTCTTCAATGTGAGGGCTTTGATGCAGATAGGTCACCAAGCGTGTCTGGCGCGTACAATGGACTCTTTGGGGATTGATATCTGTTGCGTATCGGAGACGCGAATTCAGGATCCTAGTACCATAAACCACTCGAGTTTACTTGGGTTGTCTTCGAGGTTCTTCCTCCGCACGTCAAGTGATGACGAAGCCCGTTCAGTAGGTCACCGTGGCGTGGGCATTGTACTCAATAATAAAACCAAAGCTGCACTACTTGATTGGATCCCCGCTAATAGTCGTTCGTGTGCGATGCGGCTCTAAGAGTGCGAAAGGGAAGCAACAGCAAAAGGTATCTGTTCATCGTTTCTGTGTATGCTCCGACGAACTGCAAACCTGACGCAGAAGAGAACGACTTCTATGATAAACTCACTGAACTCATTCGGTTGAGTCGAAGCTCCGATATAGTTGTTCTCTCAGGTGATTTTAACGCTCAAGTCGGAAAACTCAGCGCATCGGAAGCTTGCCTAGGCGATCATTGTGCTCTGCCTTGCCAGCGAACAGATAATGGTGATCGACTTCAGTTCTGCGCCGATCATCATCTGTTCCTATGCAACACCAACTTCCGTCAAAGCTCTCCACGGACAGCAACATGACGCTCCAATTTAACTGGTACGCTAACTCAAATCGTCCACAGCAGGAAGTTACCGTTGGCTCGGCTCAGTACAAAACTGCAGGTCCTATTGAACCACCTGCGTTGAATCTGATCATGCATTAGTGTTGATGCAGTTCACTCTCCAACTCACTGGTCACAAAAATTCCACCAAACACGGTTGGCAGATCGTCCTTTATCTGACCCAGCCGTTCGTGCCCGTTTTGAATCAGAACTAGGGCAAGAGCTAAACGCTTGGCGGGTTGGTGGTGTAGACGAACAATGGAATCAGATTGGACGAGCAATGCACTGCGAGAGTTGCTTGTGGGTCTGAAGCGGTAGCCCGCTCGAAGCATTGGATATCTGATAATTCAGTAGCACTGATGGAGAAAAAGCGGCAAATTCCCACCGCCCGGGATCAAGGCAGGGGTAGATGGCGTCTGCAACAGCAAATCAAGAAGAGCCTCAAGAAAAACCGTGAGAACTGGTAGGCAAT